AATTCCCTGCCCCAGGTCACAACCCCCATTTCCCCTTAAACTCCCTCCCAGACCCCACACCCTCTCCTGCTCCCCAGTCTCCTACCCCAAGCTCCCTTCTTCACCCAGCCTCCATCCCAAACTCCGCACGCCCCTCCATGGAGGAGCTCAGTGTTAGACCACTTGCCAAAATCTAGGAGTGCTCCCCCCATCAAAAATTATTGCCCGCCCCTGATTTAACCAGTTAATCATTCACATCCCTAATAGAGAAGATGCGGCAGCCTAGTGCTGCATTTGTTGGGCCTCCAATAGATCCACACAAGACGCCCACAAGGGACACATGAGGCTCCAGGTGGTGGCTGTGTTGGCCCTGCTCCGTGTGCTCGGGGCTCTGCCCAGGAGTTTTCTACAGGACTCTAATGCTCTGCTTCTCTCTCTTCCCACCCAGTGGACGTGACTCTGGATCCGGACACGGCAGAAGAGCGTACCGCGGTGTCTGAGGACAGGAAGACCGCGACGGGGGTAGACTTTCCCCAGAATGTGCCTGCTGCGTGCTGGGCGCCGAGGGGTTCACCTCGGGGAGGCATTACTGGGAGGTGGATGTTGGGGATCTGCGTCCGTGGGCTGTGGGGGTGGCCATAGAGTCAGTGAAAAGGAAGGGAACTCTCATGCGTAAGCCGGAGGAGGGGATCTGGTGTCGTGAGTGCAGGTGGTCTTTGGGGGTGGCCATAGAGTCAGTGAAAAGGGAGGGAACTCTCATGTTTAAGCCGGAAGAGGGGATCTGGTGTCGTGAGTGCAGCTGGTCTCGGAGGGACGCAGACGGCTCTTCTGATGTGCCCCCAAATGAGTGTGGGAGGTCTGGGAAGATCGGGGTTTGTCTGGATTATGAAGAGGGGTGGGTTGGATTTTATGAAGGTGACCATATGACTGTGATGTTGGCCTCCTTCAACGAGGAAGTCGTTTTCCCTTTCTTTTATGTGGGCATGGGGGTTAGCCTAACAATCTTGCCCTGAAGCACGCTGGGGCTTGTCCTCCCACCCCAGGAAAGGCATCCCTCTAGCCATTTTCTGCACAGCCTGCCCTAGCCTCTGTGGCCTTGTCTAGACACAAGCTTTGCACCAACACCTGATTTAATTTGAACCGGAGCACACACCTGTGTGGATGCTCTTAATTGGGCTCCAAAATGGTGTGGCTCAATTTTTTCTATATTAGATGAAGGATCGAGGCTGCAGCGATCGATCCACTGGTGGTTGACTTATTGCGTCTGCTTAGACATGATAAATTAACCTCCGAGTGCTCTCCCGATGATTCTGGCACTCCACCAGGGTGAGAAGAGTAGCTGGAGTAGACAGGTGACAGCCCCCACCGATCTTACTGTGTGGAAGACACCGCGATCCAAACGTAAGTTTTTTATCCCCAGAGAGGGGAGTTGGTTGGGGATAATGTCCCCTCTAATGTTTTCCATCCATGTGCAGAATAAATTTTGTTATGTGCACCAAAGCATGTGCCTATGTGCACTACCATAAGAAACTCCAAACCCAGCTGTATGCGCTCTGCTGATCAGCTGAGCAGTTGGAAGGTAAAATCCTGATTAATCTGTTGGCCAGTTAAACATTTGGTTCACCTAGCGTTTGACTGGTTAATCGACCAAGCAGGATCCTGGGCGGGGGAGTTGCCCCATGGCACTGGTTAATCATCACCCGGGAAGCATCATCCGTCCACATCCCTTCTGAGCAGCCACACAAGTGCACAGATTCCAGGCAGCCCTGGTTGAAACCCCGTTACAGATGCTCCAGCAGGCCTGAGATACAGATGTTAGCATATAGTCGTTTAAACTATTAAACGATACACCTCGTTTTATCGGTTAAGCCAAATGACTACATGCAACACTCCCCTCCCCCTTGTTGCCTCTGTATCAGAGGCAGCCAGGGTGGGAGGTGGGAGCCGGTGTCCATGGGGAGCCGGCTTTAAAGCTGGCTCAACACAAGCACTGGATTCTGAGGAGCCGCCTGCCCCACCTGTCCTGCACTGCTGCCTCTGATAGTGAGGCAGCAGCATGGAGGGGGAGGGGGCTGGCAGGAGCTGGGACACATGGGAAATCAGCTTTGAAACAGCCCTCCACACGTGCCAGTTCTGCGGGGCCACCTGCCCCGCTCGGGAGCCGGCTTTAAAGCTGGCTCAACACAAGCACTGGATTCTGAGGAGCCGCCTGCCCCACCTGTCCTGCACTGCTGCCTCTGATAGTGAGGCAGCAGCATGGAGGGGGAGGGGGCTGGCAGGAGCTGGGACACATGGGAAATCAGCTTTGAAACAGCCCTCCACACGTGCCAGTTCTGCGGGGCCACCTGCCCCGCTC